TCCAGCAGAGACCGGTCCACCGTGGACAGACCCAGATCCGGCTTCACCTGCAGCCTTGGACCTGCAGTCGGAGCTCCGGAGGCAGGAGGAGAGCTCAGCTCCCGGCAGCAGCAGCGTCTCCTCCTCCTCCAGGAGCAGAGCTTCTCCTCTCCGGGAGCCAACACCGACACCACGCTGCTGGAGACCTAGGACGTATTGCTGGACCCGCTGGAGGGAAGGGAGGCAACGGGAGAACCGGAACCAGGACTGAGAGGAGCAGACTGTCAGACCCTGCTGCAGTAGAATGAGAGGTTTTCTAAAGGGACTCTGTTGCTCGAAAAGTTCCTTGTAGTAACTTTGTCATATATACAACGAATTCTGACAAAGAGAGGCACATTTTTCTTGCTAAATATATGTCAAAAGAATAAAATGTCATTTTTATTGTGTAAAATACAAATAATTCCATGACCTTGGTGTTTATGCATCTTCATTTTACATGAGCCACTTTTTCAGTGAGATCTCACCTGCAAAGGACTGAAGATGACCGGCGGAGGCTGGATTTTGTTCCTCTTAGCAGCATCTCTCAGTATGGCCTCGGCCTCCTCCACTCTTCCCTGGGAGAGCAGCCAGCGAGGAGACTCAGGGATGTACCTGCCTCGTTACACGACAGAGAGACACAGATGGAACAAAGGAAAAACATACCATACAGTAAAGGTACTATTGATGTTTTAATTTTACCTGATTTTGAGTCCTTATAATGCACAATCGAGTAAAACCTACCTAACAACAGCTGCAAAGCCTTCATAAAGTGGGTATGAGCTGATGCTATTGTGGTTATTAGACCACATCAATGTATATTTATTCATTCATATGAAAAAAATGCAACTAATTGTTTTATTGTTGATTAATCTGCTGCTTATTTTATTTCTTTAGTCTATAAATTGCTTATAAAAATGGAAGCGGAAAAGTGGAAAATGTCCATCACAACTTTCCAACAGTCCATCTTCAAGTGTTTTGTCTGACCGATAAACCAAAGTCCCAAAAGATATTCACTTTATTTTGAAAGAAGTAAAGCATATGCTTACTACCATTTGTACTCTTAAATGCCATTTGGAACTATTTGTATTCAAAAACTTTATTTACGATCTGAATAATTGTTAATAACAGAGGATGATTTTATTAGAATTGCATTTGAACACAACTTGGCAGCATTCATACCTTTCAAGTAATCGATCTCAAAAGTTTTCAGAACTTTTCAAAATACAGCAAGACTGGCATGATGAATCCAGATATTTAAATTGACCAGTCTAAAGCTGACTTTCAGCAGGTGCTTTAACTTAAGAAAAATGAACTTATTGTTGCGTGTTACAATTAAATCAGAGTTTCTATTGGCCCAAAGCTAACGTGGGCGGGAGAAATGGACACAATGTGCTTGTTTTTATTGGTGCAAAAAGATCCCCATCTATAGATATGTACTTTTTTAATGATACACAATTTTATAATGTATAGCCAATTATTTACCGGACCCCCCTTTGAAAATCACTAATTTAAACAATCGCTTATCATATAGATTTCCATTCAGTCTATCGTCTATCAAATAATTGTTTCAGCTCTAAAAAATAGTGCAGAACAATCATTCCAGATAGTTATTGTTGCAGGAATGCTGGCGATTGATTGATTGACCTGCCTGAATCTATCGGGTTGATTGACCTGCCTGAAACAGGTACTCTAATCACCTGTCAGCACTGCAGAAGAAAGTAGCATTAACTAGAAATTAATTTAAAAAAAGGCCACACACACACACAAGCAAACACACACCTACCTACCACCAGAGAGGCACATAGAGGAAGCCAGGCAGCGAGATGCCGAGGAGAAGCTTCCTCCAGTCTCTGAGGAAGTAAGCAAACAGCGGCAGCAGCATGTAGCCCGCTCCAAAGAAAAGACTCACACCCGCTGTGGAGAAAACCGTCCGAACACCTGGGCCCAATATCTCTGTCCCTATAATGAACACAAGGAACAACGTCTTTTGCATAATCATGAACCAGTTAAATACGACTGAGAATCAATGAGGAGAGTGAAGCCTACCCAGCACAAACGCAGCCACATAATTGGAGATTTGTGCCAACCCGACAACAAAGAACATGGCGCAGAACACCGTCCAGGATGGAGAGAAGACCTGAAATAACGTGAACAACGTCTGCACCGCCATGGTAACGAAGAACACTATTTTTCTCCCGTACCTGAAAAAAAGACACGAAGTGTACGAGTGAATGACCAAGTAAGCATGATATCCAGACGGCAACCTCCAGTTCTGAGGAGTGAAGCCGATGGGGAAGTGTCTTAAACCTTGCATGCTCTCTACCAGCAGGGGGCGACTCCTCCGGTAGCTAAAAGAAGTCTGATTGTATAGAAGTCTATGAGAAAAGGACTCTACTTGTCACTTGATGTATTACCTCAGTAATACCATATATTACTATGCAATACAGGGGAGTGAGGTAGAGACGCCGTGACGGCTCTGGTAGCGGCAGCGACCTGTCAATCACAGTAGCCCCGCCCCTAAATCATAGCCTGCTTTATGGTCTGTGTGACTCTAAATGGATCATAATTTACTAAATGAACATCATGCTGTATTGAAGAAGACTTGGAACTAGCCAGTGTTTGGTTTGACCTGCTGCTTATGTCGAAATGAAGGGCTCATATAAGGTAACAGACACGATTCTTAATTTCAGGTGATTATACACAAATGAAAACATTGTTATGAATATTATATTCCCTTTCTGCAAGTATAAATTACGAATTTAAGGCACATTCTTAAAGGGCTTAAAGATGCCTTTTTCTTGCAGTTTTACTCAGATTTCCACTTAAAACTATGAAAAGGAAAAAAATGTGTCTAGTTGGTTGGTGTGAAGGAGAAAATCTTGACATTTTAATTATTAACAGATATTCTGACACACAGTGAGGAAGACTTGTTGCTATGTTGAGATATTACATGAACTTGTGATGCATTGAGTGACAAACTAAATTTAATGTTTTGTCCAAAACCTGTCAGAGAGCTGTCCTGAAATGAAGGAGCCAGTGAGGACACCACAGAAGAAGAGGGAAGAAGTCAACGGATTTTTCCACCTGTTGTCACACACCAGGTCCCACTGCAAAAGACACACATGCGCACGCACACACACACACACGCACACACACACACACACACACACACACACACACACACACACACACAGTAGGTAGATCAGAGTACATCAAGCACACAAAAAATATCAAATCCTGAAATTGCAATTTCTTAACAAAAAAACAGTCCAATCTACCGTCTGTCATTCAAAAGTTTGTAATCAGTTTGTAATCAGTCCATGTATTGATGTTTTTCTTCTTTCCTTCAATATTGACTATTTTTACAGAGATACAAATGGTATAATTCAGACACCAAACGTATTAGTTACATTTTAAATAGATTAAAAATAAGAAGAATTAAATGATTGACACTTCCACTGAGTTGCTGTCCCCACAGTGTTGATGACAGGGAGAATATGTTGGAGCTGAGATGCTGGATGTTTTTCACTCCAGAAAAGCGTCAGTGACCCTCGATCATAATTGAACTCTAAAATATTGATTACGTCTCTCTGCAGTGTCCTCGGTGGGTAGTTTAAAGAGGTTTGAAATGTGATCTGTTCAGCTGATATTCCACATAATCCTCGACTAACTATGACCTTTGCTTCCTCTATTCTTATTCAACTGTTGCTCAGAAGATTTTTGTCATCAATAAAAATACATATTTTCAACATATATATATATTTATGTCTGAATCTATTTTTCATAGATATATATATATATATATATATATGTATACATATAAATATGTATGTATGTATAAATACATTTTTTTCTTGTATAACATGATAGGATTATATGCAGCTGCAGCCTCCTCTACCTCCAGCAGCAGCATGCGCAGTTTGCACAAACCTCTGATATGATGGTAGAAATATACACGCTCCGGTCGTACTCCCACCCATCCAAGCAGCTCTCCGTCGACACATTGGTAAGGTCAACATCAACGCCGGGCAGCAAGCCTCCGTCCGAGAAACGCTTCACATCTTCCAGTTTGTATCTGGAGCACTTGCTGCGCACCAACGCGCCGCTGTTGCTCTCCTCCTCCAGTGGGATGCTGCTGTTCCTCCACGCAGCGGTGAGGTTGACGTGCGCGGGAATGAGGCACATGTGCGGCGGCGTGTCGGCGACGAAGACGATGGAAAGGCCGCTGAAGCCGTTCGGGACGACGCTCAGACAGAGCAGGAAAAACACCTCTTTTTGGAAGCGTCCCCACTCCCCGAGGAAGGCAGTTGCAGCGTCGTAGTCGGTCATGTTGGTCTTGGTTGCAGCCGAGGCGCGCACAAAGTCAAAAACACAGAGAGTGAAGGACTTTGGAGAGAGCTTAACACTAAACCGTCCCACAAACATCACCTGCCTCTTTTCTCATTTGGCTGCGGTTTTGTTAAATTAACCGATCTTGATTAATAAGTGGCCTCTAAACCTGTCAGAGTCAAACAGTACAATTTCTATTTGTTATGTCAACACATGAGATTAGATTAAGTTAAGGCCTGAAAGATCAAGTCTTTTAAAAATAAATGTATAATTATAATATTCAAAAATGTTTCAACATAAAAGGTCAACTGATGGCTTCAAAACAAACTGTTCCTTGACCTTAAGTATATATATGTGTATATATATGTGTATATATATGTGTATATATATGTGTGTATATATATACACACATATATATACACACATATATATACACATATATATACACATATATATACACATATATATACTTA